GGGAGCTAGAGAGTAGGATACTATAGTGCAGGCTGCTAAGAGCTAGGATGTACGAAACTAGAAGCTAGGAAGCTATAATGCAGGATGCTAGGAGCTAGGAAGCTAGAATGCAAGATGCTAGGAGCTAGGAAGCTTGGATGTAGGAAGCTAGAATACAGGAAGCTAAAATGCAGGATGCTAGGAGTTAGGAAGCTAGGATGTTGGAAGCTAGAATGCAGGAAGCTAAAAAGTGGGAGACTAGAATGTAGGATGCTAAGAACTAGGAATTTGGGATGTCAGAAAACAAAAAGATTCTCCTTATCAACTGTTCATAAAACCTAAGAAAGCAACTTCTAACTCAAATCTAATTCACACCTAACACAGACATAATCACTATTCCAAGGCATGGACCTCTCCAAGTTCAGTACCTCATACCGAAGTTATCCATCTCCATCTCCTGATCTTCTCATCTTCTCAAGTCAACCACAGTTTCCCTATCTCTACCTTTTTACGACGAAACGTAGCGTACCATACTGCAACAATCCATCGTCGAGAATCGAGTTATGCCCAGGTGAAGTTTATCGGGAGTAGCATTTATCAATTTCATCGGCCAGGCGCGCATCACGTTTTCATTAGGAGGCCGCGATCATGTGCTCCCATGACACAAGTTTCGTGGAAGACGCGTCTTGCATAATAGAGGGATGCACTTAGCGTTTCGCCACGGGAACCGCGCCGTGGCGAATCTCTTAACAAACACGCGGTAGTCTTCCACGGGATGCACGGTGCATCATCTACTCCATTAGACGCTGTCTGTTCGGCCGGAAGTTGTTGAGTCACCCGCGGCATTGATCCCGTGCATCATCACCTGCTTTTAACCATTTACCCATTGAATGTTTTAGAGATATTGCGAGTCGAGTGAAAATTTAGACGGTTATCAGTGATTTCGAGGCTCTCGGTGGCGTTGTTTAATAATCGGGTGCTTCGGGGACTTTGATAGACTTCGGTGGGCGTGGATTGAAGAGAAGGGGAGGAGATTGGGAGTGGAAGAATGAGGATAGATTCATTGTCAATGTTTTAGGGGAAAGTTACTTGTGCATCGAAACCGACAGGTTTCAGGATAGATTGTTCAGAATAGATGTCGTTGTCGACTTTGGTAGATTACTTGGGTATTTTTTTTTTCCTGAGGTAATTATTAGAACATTAGGAGTGTGAAAAGATGATTTAGGATGCTAGGACGATGGGATGCAGGATGTTGGGATGTAGGATGCTAGAAAGTAGGATACTAGAATGCACGAAGCTAGGATGCAGAAAGCTAAGATATAGAATGCTAGAATGCAGGATGCTAAGAGCTAGGAACTTAGGATGTAAGAAGCTAAAATACAGGATCCTAAGATGCTATGATGTAGGAAGCTAGAATATAGGAAGCTAGAATGCAGGATGCTATCTACATCTTAACTTCTTGCTTCTTAGCACCCTGTATTCTATGTAGCTTCCTACATCTTAGCTTCCTACGTCATCGCATCTTGCCATCTTAGCTTCCTACATTCTAGCAACCTGCATTCTAGCTTCCTACATCTTAGCTTCCTAGCTCCTAGCATCCTGCATCCCTGCATCCTACTTCCTACCAACCTGCATCCTAGCTTCCCCAAATCCCAGCATATTGCTTCTTAGCAGCCTGCACTCTAGTATTCTATATCCTAGCTTCCTACATCCTAGCTTCCTAGCTCCTAGCATCCTACATTCTAGTATTCTACTTTCTAGCTTGCTTTCCTCGTAGCTTTCTGTCGTAGACTGTCTTTTATTGTAGAAGAACCATTAAGGCAGATACACAACACATGTGAATTGGTTATGGCAATATCGCAACATCATCCTTTCCCGCTTTTTTTTTTAATACCCATACCTCAGTTGTAATTGTCGTGAATTTCGTCGTAATTGTTTGTCGTCGTGCTCAATAATGTAGGATCTCGGAGATAAATGTTTTTCAAGTATTACTGCAGGTTCCCATGCAGTTTTTGTTCTCGCGTAAACTTTTTGACCTGGTATAAAACCTTTGCACTTTTTTGCTGTTTGATCATAATATTCTTTTTGCTTCATCTGATTTTTACTTAGAATTACTGAGGGTGTTTTTAGTACTTTAGGCTTAAGTGCTTCATTAGATATAGGCAACATTGATCTTAATTGTCTGCTCATTAAAAGTTCAGATGGCGAGTATGACGTTCCCGCTACGGGACTATTACGATACGACAACAATGCTAGATTGATATCTTCACCACTATGTTTACATTTCTTAAATATTTTTTTTTAAATTCCCACTGCTTTTTCAGCCATTCCATTCGATTGAGGATAATTGGGGCTACTTGTTATAACTTCAAATTCCCACTCATATGAGAATTTCTCAAATTCTCTCGATCCGAAAGGCATATTATCAGCAATTATTTGTTTTAGTATTTCATACGTGGCGAAGACAGATTTTAGTGCGTCTATAACATTTTTGGTCATTTTACATTTTAACTGTTTGTAGTCAATCCATTTAGAATAATAATCAACAACGACTAAGTAATTTTTTCCTTCATGCTCTGCAATGTCTATTTTAGCAAATGGTATGTCTGGAATGTCATGAGAAAGCAGTAGTTCTTTTGTTTTTACAGCTTGATATATTTCGCAGGTTTTACATAATTTTGTTATTTTTTCAATATCACTTGTTTTTTGTGGCCAATACATAATCGTTCTCGCTTTTTTTTTTATCATTTTTGTGGTCCCTACATGTCCATGATGTAATTTTTTAAGTAGTTCCTGACGCATGACTGTTGGTATGACAACCAATTTTGACTATATACAGGGTGTCCCAAAAGTCGGGGAGGAGCCGGAAATAGGGGGTAGCTGAGACGATTCTGAACAACAATTTCCTTTGCAAAAATGTCAGATGGGGCTTCGTTAAGGAGATATTAAGAGAAAACCCCGACCAATCAGAGCGCGCGTAGACCGTTCGAGCGGCCGCGGTAGCGAAGGCTACGCGCTAGGCGGCAGCGTCAATGTCCTTCGATGCACGTCGAGTCACTTGTTCGCGTACAAGCGCGGCCGCCAGCGCGTAGCCTTCGCTACCGCGGCCGCTCCAACGGTCTACGCGCGCTCTGATTGGTCGGGGTTTTCGCTTAATATCTCCTTAACGAAGCCCCATCCGACATGTTTGCAAGGGAAATTGTTGTTCGGAATCGTCTCAGTAACCCCCCATTTCCGGCTCCTCCCCGACTTTTGGAACACCCTGTATACAAGTCCTACATGGGCATGTAGCGAGTTACGCTGACACCAATATGTGATTAACATTTGAGGCAACCCTTTTTTATTGCTTGGCCACTCCGTTTCGCAGTACTCTCTAACTTTTGACAAGATTGGGTCATTGCTAGTATTTTCTCGTAGTTCTTTGATTTTATTTTTACTAATAGCTAGGCTATGGACGTTATTTATGACTTGTGTTAAGTCTACTTCGTCGGTTTTGTTACACGGCAAGTAGTTTCTCGACAGTAAATCAGCAATATACATGTATTTGCCAGGTAAATACTTAATTTGAAGATTATATTTAAGTAGTTTTATGGCTAAACGTTGAAGTCTGTTCGAATGTATTTGACTTGTGCATTTATTATTTAGTGCTAGCAGTGGCTTGTGATCAGAAAGTACTGTGGTTGGCCTTCTATATATATAATAGTGAAATTTTTTAGCAGCAAAGACAACACTCAAGAGTTCTTTTTCAATTTGGGCATAATTTTTTTCTGTGTCTGTTAAACTTCTCGATGCAAATGCTATGGGTTTATTGTCTTGTAGTAGACAAAACCCCAAGTCAGAGCTCGAAGCATCCGATTGGATTATTATTTCTTTCTTACTATTAAACATTTGTAATATTGGTGCTTTACAAATCTCTCGTTTTATGGAGTTAAACATTTTTGAATGTTCAGGAAGCCACAGCCACAAAGATCGTTTTTTTAACATTTCTCTGAGTTGCTCAGTCTTTGCTGCTAAGTTTGGTACAAATTCTCTTACATAATTTATCATTCCTAATATTTGTTGAAGCTATTTAATGTTCTTTGGTTCTTTTAGTTCTGTGATTGCTTTTATTCGATCATGAGATATTGACTTTCCTTTTTTTGAGAATTGGTAACCTACATAATTAACAGTTCTTTGCTTGTATTGTATTTTGGATTTATTAAATTTTACGTTCAATTTTCTTGCTCTTTCTAATACTTTTTGCAAAATTTCCTCATGTTCTTTTTCTGTGTCACTTGCTATTAATAAGTCATCAAAGTAGACTATAACTCCTTCAATATCACTAAAATTTTCTTCATTTTGTTTTTGAAATGCTTCTGGTGCACAATTTATACCAAAAGGTAGATAGTTGAATCTATAGCAACCAAATGGGGTTGAAAATGTTAAATTCGCGCTTTTTCCATCCAGTTTCATGTGCTAAAATCCGTCTTTTAAATCTAGTACTGTGTAATATTTTTTATTTACTAATTTTTCAGCTATTGCTTCTATGCTAGGTATTTCATAGTATGGTCTTTTCATGGCTTTATTTAAATGATTACCATCAGTTCATTTAAATGACTTCCATCAGTTTTTTCTCGTATTAACAGACTACTGACCCATGAATCTGGATTTTCAACTTTTGTTATAATTTGGTCTTTTCCGAGTTGTTTACGAGTGACCTTTAGTCGATCTTTGATAGTTTTAGGGAATCGGCGACGGGGATTTGCTATTGGTTGCACGCTAGGATCCACTACGATTGTGAATTTTTTGGGGAATTGCCCTCTGCCAGAAAAAACATCAACATTGTTTTTTATGAATTCAATTTTTTCATTTATCGACTGTTGGTGATTTATTGACTTGTTATTTATCGAGTGTATTGGATTCGCTAAACCTAGTTCTTTTGACGACCAAAAGCCTAATAAAGCTTCATAGTCTTCTTTGACCACTATAAAAGTAGTTTCGGATTTCTTATTGTTTATCATTGTTTTTACATTGATTGTACCAAATGACTTAAATTTCGAGCCATCATAGGTCTCAAGCATAGCGTGTGATTTTATAATTTGTGACTCTATTTTTAATTCTTTACAGATTTTTAAGGGTAGTATATTGCACGTGGCTCCTGTATCAATTTTTATTTTCATTTTATTTTTATTTATTAGTATTGTTTCATACCAACTTTTTTGGTTAATATTCTTAATAGCTGAAATTCGTAAGGTAGTTATTGTAAAGTCTGTATCGCTATTAGAGCTGTCTGAATTACTATCCGCGTGAAGTGAATTATTGACAGTAAGTATTAATTCTTTTGTTTTCGCCTCTGCTACGATACACGACTGAAAAATGATTAGATTTATTGCATTTAGAGCATGTTTTACCAAACGCTGGACACTGTTGTCGTCCATGTCGTCTGTCGCACTTCTTGCACGTGAAAGTTGACTGTTCATCCGACAACCTTTGATGATTGGATGTTGCTCTGTTGTAGTCAGTCTCTCGCTGTTTTCCTCGTTGTTCGTCAGGGTTCCGTCTGATATTATACGTGTGAGGCTCCCCCTTGTTGCTATGCCTTCTGGAATGTTTAGCTTGTTGTTTGACGACGTCTATCTTCACTTGCTCATTAGACTCTTGAATTTTTTCTGCTTGACTTTCGCTTAACTCCTGAGTTTTAATATTTTGTATTAAGTCACGTAGTGTTAGATTCTTTATTTTAAGCACTGACTGTTGTAAACGTTTATCTTTTAGGTGTCCTATGATATTACCACGTATTAGACTGTCTTGTACAGTGCCGTAATTGCAGTTTTTAGATAGTTTTTTTAGTTCTGCTACATATTGATTTATAGACTCTCCTTCATATCTATCTCTAGATGTGAATAAAAATCTTTCGTACGTTTCATTAAGTTCTGGCTTCGCGTGGTCTCCAAAAACTTCTAGAATCGCATCTGGATCCTTTATATCCTCTTCTGACAGATTAAATGTCTCCAACAGTTTCAGTGCTTCAGAGCCCAGTAAATTCTGCTACGTGGCGGCCTGTATATTTTTTGATTTGGTGTGCCGACCGGACGCTACCATAAATAGTTGGTAGTCCCTCTTGAAAATCAATCAATTTTTTGCTGCATCACCTTCGAATGTGTATGGTTGTGGTTTGTTTAAATAATCCATAATTAATGCTGTCTCAGATGTTTCACTTGTTGAGTTGTCTTCAGTTTCCACTTTTACTTCTTCGTCTGACATGTGCGTGACCTACTTATGCGTATTTAAAAATCTCATGCACATAACCTTTATTTTCACTGTCCTACCGACTACACCATGTCATAGACTGTCTTTTTATGTAGAAGAACCATTAAGGCCGATACACAACACATGTGAATAGGTTATGGCAATATCGCAACACTTCCTACATCCTAGCTTCCTAGCTCCTAACTTCCTGCATTCTAGCTTCATATATCCTAACAATGGTGCATCCTAGCTTCTCTAAATCCTAGCATATTGCTTCTTAACATCCTGCATCCTAGCTTCTCTAAATCCTAGCATATTGCTTCTTAACATCCTGCATTCTAGCATCCTATATCCTAGCTTCCTACATCATAGCATCTTGCATTTTAGCACTGCATCCTAGCTTCCTACATCCTAGATTCCTACCTGCTAGTGTCCTGAATTCTAGCTTCCTAGCTCCTACCTTCCTAGCTCCTAGCATACTGCATCTCAGCTTCTTACTTCCTAGCAACCTGCATTCTAGATTCCCTGAATATTAGCTAATTGCTTTTTAGCACCTTGCACCCTGGCTTCCTATACCCGAGCATTCTGAATTCTAGCTTCCTACATCGTAGCATCTTGCATCTTAGTATCCTGTATTTTAGCTTCCTACATCCTTCCTACTTCCTAGCCCCTAGCATCTTGCATTCTAGTATTTTACTTTCTACATTTCTGCATCCTAGCTTCCCTAAATCCTAGCATATTGCTTTTTAGCACCCTGCAGTCTAGCTTCCATCATCCTAGCATCACCCATCTTATCACCCTGTATTGAAGCTTCCTACACCTAACTTCCCACATCTTACCCTCTTGCATCCCATCATCTTGCATACTAGCTTCCTACCCTCTACTCTCCAACATCCTTCAGTACCATCATACTTCTGATACCCTGCCCAAGCTAGAACTCCTTGTCAAAGTCAACTCTCTACCTCTATATTAGTGAACGTAACATAACCTAGAAACAAGAGCAAATAAATTGGGGACGTAGAAATGACTACGCATGGAAATGGAACACCCTGTACACAGAGATATAGAAGACACGAGATTTCGAGCAAAATATGTCAGTCAGAAGGAGAAACACGCTCCATTCGAATTTTCCTGCCAACCTATCTCCTGGCAGATAATGGGTGACCACAACGCACCACTCGGTTTCGATTTCAAGTGTGGGGCGGTACGGTGGGAAAGCGAGCCCGAATGATTGCTATATGGCACGCGGGGGAGTATGTACAAAGGGTGCAGTAATAACGCGACATTATGCCGTATAATATGGATCATATTCCACGCGTCGTCAATCGTTAAGAACGCGAACCTTGAGACTGCTCGCTACGATCATTCGCGAATTATTTTTATTTAAGATTCAATGAAATCGAATGAAATTCTTTCTGAGTGTTTTTTGAAATTTTAAGGGGACACTGGAACTATATCGTTGCGTATTGTTTTCTTATTACTAGATCGTGAATATTTTGGGATCTCTGGAAAATGGAAACTTGGAGAAATTTATGAGAATGGGCACGAATCCAAAAAAATTCATAAAATATCAACAATGATATACGTATTGTACCGTTTAGAAGATGAGATATAATTTTATTGAACCCTTTGTAGATCAGTATAGTGAAAATGTAAAATATTTGTGAAAAGAGACTGCAGTATAAGTATTTTTCAAAATATCAATGACTTTGTTCATCAGTTATTTATTTGATATTTTAAGCTAGACTGCGGATTTTTATGCAAAATAAAATCTTCGCGAAGGTGCCTACAGAAATTGAACCTAAATAGGAATTTATTTTATTCTGCAAATATTATAACATGAACTTTACTTTCAATCTTTTTTATATTCTTGCATATTGTTTGCATTTTCTAGGTTTTTGCACATTCAAATTTCCTAAAAATGCATAAAGATACAGTCTAAACATTACTGTAACATTAAATATGTTCTAATTTGTTCAATAATGTGTTATGATAATATTACATCAATTTCAATTAACCAAATATACTGATTTTCCAGATTTGTTACAGAATTGTCACGCGGTGCTACAAAGGGTTAACTTTCAATGCTTTTTCTGTATTTCTGAAAATATTAATTAGCATAAACATGCGTCTACTTACTAGTTAATAATACAAACAGTAAATTCAGTACGGATTCCCTTAGATAATTCTTCGAGTTACTTAAAAAATTCGTTGTTTCTTCGGTCTTATTGGAAACTGTTTTTTAGGAAATGTATTCATGTTAGAATGAGTACTGTTTGCTCTCTTGGGGTTCTTCAATAGCTTTTTGTTCGTGAAGCTGTCTCCCACTCTAAAATATACGCCTCTGTCTTATTCTCGCATTCGGTCTCCCAATGAATTTTCTTGTAGCTGAGGAATCCCTAAGAAGACCAGTGATTAATGGAGACGAAAAATCCTCGGAGATACTTAAGATGGTTGCTTCTTTCGCTGCTTTGTCTGCGTTCTCATTTCTTGGTACATTGGCTCGAGGTCGAATGCACGAATTGTGAATTCAATTGCTACGTTACAAATCAAAATCTGATTATCTTTGTTAATTTTTATTTATAAATATAGCATAAAGATAATATACAGAATTTTACAATAATTTAATTTATAATTATTATTTAATAATTCATTACAATATAATTAAAAATATAATTAAAATTTGACTGATATTTAAAAGTTACTTGCAAATATTTTGCAGCTACATTTTCAAGTAGTTGAATAATAATAAGCTTGCAACATTTTTTTTGATAGTTATATTTATTGTAAAAATGTGTATAGTTAATGTAAAGTGTTGCAACCTTTTTTTGGGGTGGAGAGAAGAAATTTGTTTCTCTTGGAAAAACAGGAATAATTTGTCGAGAACGAAACGAAAATATTATCAACGAAATCTCGAGCAACTCGGAACAATTCACAACTCTCCTCTGGTTGGTTAAGTGCTTGTTGAACAAAGCTTCGACGATTTTTCACCTCGTCTTGAATGATGAGCGTTGCCACGCTTTCCATTAATCTGCTTCTCCTCCCCAGCGGGCTTGTCTTTCCCGTAGAATCGCTTCCGTTCGAGCAGAATCCTGCGAGGAATCACAGAGGAGGGTAGCCAATTCGTAGAAAAATTGTTGTCTGATTTTTACCTCGGATTTATCTCCATGTAAACGCACTCAACAGTTGATAGAAGCAGGTTATCTATATTTCTAAGCGTTCCATTAAAATCTCTGCTGGAAAATTTTCATTGTCGACCCTGGTAATTCTACAAATTTAATACAAATTATTTTACTTTATTCCAAATAATCTAGAAGACAGAAATTAGGAATTATAGTAGATTTACACTTAAATGCATCCATGCGCGGATGCAGCTCAAAACGGAAAGGAAGACAACTTTCTGAATTCAGATTCTTTCATGGGGGTGGGTGATCCATGGGGGTGAGGATGAGGCATGGCAATAATAAACAATAACAAGAGAAAGGACACTATTTATTTCAAACAAATCTTGAAAGAAATTTGTTATTTACATTTTTTCTCCTTTATTTTATTTTAGTTTATAAGGAGATAGCTTTCTAAATTCAACTTTTTTCATAAGAGATGGTGATCCATGGGGGTGAGAATCATCAAGAATTGCAATAATACACAATAGCAAGAGGAAGGACACTATTTATTTCAAATAAACTTTGAAAGAAATTTATTTCCTACATTTTTTCTCTTTTATTTTAAATTATGTCCATCTTGAAAAGAGGGTTAACTACCTCTCCCTTCCCCTCCCTGGATACACTACTGCACCCTTGGATACCCTAAAACATCTACTTCTTACTCTTCTACTAATTATTCGTCTTCTTAAACCCTTAAGGGGTGACCTAAACGGTTGCGCACCGGACACACGAGGTCCGAGTATCAAACCACCCCCCCCCCCTTTCTCCATGACATCTAGCACGCACGGGGGGCAACGAAAACACGGGGACGTCCGAATATCCGGTCACGGTCGCGTGGTTGATGAATAATTAGCCGATCGTCCCGTCCGTGGCGGAAGCGAACCATCAATATTTTTATTGCCGGCCGACCCCCCAGCGACGCGAAAAAGAGGGGCAGGAGGTCGAAAGCAACCCCTGCGGTTCCCTTCCTTTTATTTTTTGCGCGTGTCACGGCTGCTAAGGGTGGGCGATGCCGGCTAAGTGATATCCTTCGGATATCATGGAGGGGGGGAGAACATCACGCAACGTGGCCGCCGACCTCGAGGACCACGTTCGCGAAGAATGGGTCTTGGCACGGGGTGAAAAAGCGCGTCGCTACCGAGAGTTCTCAGTGGATTAATGGATACAGAGCTTGAGGACACTCGTTTGGCAAGAGGAATAGGGATTTTTGTCGCGTTGTCCAGCGATTGAGCGGATTTGGGGGTTGCAAGTAAGGCTGGAAGAATGGGTTGCGAGGAATTTAGAGTTTTCGGGAGGGGACGGTGAGGAGAGGAGGTAGATAAGGGTGGTTTAGCGTGAGGTATGCGTGGGGTAGATTGATTGGTTAGGAAGATGAAGATGGAAGTAAGTTTAGGATCTCGCGAAACAATTTAAGAGTTTGGTGAGGTTAGGTCTGGAGTTGCGAGGAATTTAGAACGTCAGTTAGGGGGTGGTGAGGAGAGGGTACAGATGAGGTTGTGTTAGTGTGGTTTGAGTATGGGATAGGTTAATAGGTCAGTTAGAAGAATGAAGAAAGATCTAAGTCTAGGACTTCACGAGTCAATTTAACAGTTTGGTGAGGTAAGGTCTGGTATTTGGAAGAATTTAGAATGTCAGTTAGGGGATGGTGAAAAGAGAGTATAGATAAGGGTGTTTTAGTGTGGTTTAAATATGAGATTGGTTAATAGGTCAGTTAGAAGAATGAAGAAAAATCTAAGTCTAGGACGTCGCAAGTCAATTTAACAGTTTGATGAGGTTAGGTCTGGAATTGCGAGGAATTTAGCATATCACCTATGTGGTGATAAGAGGCGGACGTAGATAAAAGTGTTTCAGTGTGATTTAAGTCTGAATTAGGTTTACACGTCAGTTAGGAGAATAAAAACAGCCCTAAGTCTAGGACGTCGCAAGTCAATTCAACAGTTTGGTGAGGTTAGGTCTGGAATTGCGAGGAATTTAGCATGTCAGTTAGGGGATAGTAAGAAGCGGACGTAGATAAAAGTGTTTCAGTATGATTTAAGTCTAGTTTAGATTAGCAGGTTAATTAGGAGGTCAAACTGTTAACAGCCACACAAATATTCTTGAAAATGTCTGCTAGGATTAAATATACTAACAGACTATTGGAGACTACATAAACAAACATTTACTGTGGTATTTATTTTTTCAACTTTAGAAAAATTCATGAATTTCACTTAACCCTCCATGGTCCAAATGATTGTTTCTGCATACAATTTGCTAGACATTTACTTTGATATTTCAGATTGATACCAACGGTTATCAATATTGTTATTAGTTATCAGTAGACTGCGGATTTTTATGCATTTATAGGAAATTTGAATGTACAAGCTCCTACAAAATGCAAACCGTATGCTATAATATCAAAAATATTGAAAGTAAAGTTTATGTTATAATGTATGCAGAATAAAATAAATTCTTATTTAGGTTCAATTTCTAAAACAAACACATTATGTAATTAAGACTTATGTATACGTCATTTTATGAAAAAAACAAAATTTACTTGACGAAATACAAATATATATTAGCATTGGATCAATTGGTTCAATTTTTTAATCAGACACATTATGTAATTAAGACCTATGTATACGTCATTTTATGAGAAAACTAAAATTACTTGACGAAAAACAAATATATATTAGCATTGGATCTGAAAGTTACAT